GGGTTTCTCCAGTCTCTGTCAGGCCAGTAAGTCTGGTCTTTTTTTGTGAGTTAGAATTTTGTTCTACATTTTTCTCCAGCTCTGTCCGGGACCCTCTGTGGTGTTCCGGTCAGAGCAGTCAGTGGTGGTAGCCGGGCACCATCTAGCTGTACTGGACTCAGTCTGGTGGAGGCCGTGGTATTTGTGATCCATTAGTCCTCTGGACTCATCTTTTCCTTGTGTCTTGTTTTCTTCATTCTCCCTTGCTCCCGAAGTGGTGAGACCAGTGGAATATCTTAGATGGCTGCTCACAGGCTTTTAAGGCCCCAGACGCTACTCACCAAGGTAGAATGTAGAACATTGTCTTTATAAACTGTGTTATGCCAATTGAGCTAGATGTTCCTCGAGACCATGGTCTCCATAGCAGGGCTGTTTCTGAAAGTAGACAAATAAGCCCTTCAATTCGTAACACAAAAGTCACCCTCTCAATGAAACAAAAAACCCAAACCTGTTGCTATTGAGTCGAATCTGACTCCTGGTGATCCCATGTGTTACAGAGTAGAAGTGATCTCCATAGGGTTTTCTTGGCTGTAATCTTTACAGAAGCAGATCACCAGGCCTTTCTTCTGCAGCACCTGTGGGTGGGTTTGAATTGCCAGCCCTTTGGTTAGCAGCCAATCACAAACCATTTGCGCCACTCAGGGACCTCCTTCACAGTGAAGATTGCTCTTTTTTTAAATAGCAACCCACCTTACTACTCCCTGTACCCTGAACCTCCCTCACTCTGCTTTTTTTTCCATAGCACGTATTACCTTATTATGTATGTTTATTGTCTGTTTTTCTACCTGAATGCAAGTTCCACTGTTGTTGTTGTTAGGTGCCCTCGAGTCAATTTTGACTCATACCAACGCCATGTGACAGAGTAGAACTGCCCCATAGGGTTTTGTAGCCTGTAATCTTTAGGGGAGCAGGTCGCTGGGTGTTTCTCCTGCAGAACCACAGGGTGGGTTCAAACTGCCAACCTTTCGGTTGGCAGCCGAGCGCTTAACTGTTGTGCCACTAGGGCTCCTTAAGCTCCACCAGAGCAAGGATATTTGTTTTATTACTGATATACCCTAAACACTTAGAACAATGACTGGCATGCATGAATGAATGAATGAATAAGGTATCTGAGGGAACTGTCCTGCCACGTCAGGGGGAAATGTCAGATGCCAGTAATGTTCCGCAAGCTGCCACAAGGGGGCATCACCGGATCTGATATTGTTGGTCTAAGCTAAAGCAGCCATCCTTTACTAAACAGATTTTGAGCCTCAGCTTTCCTCTGTTTGGCCTTGGGGAGAAAAGAAAATTTTAACAAATTATATTTTTCATAAAGTTAAGTGGATTTCGTATTTTAAAGAAGTGTCCTTTACTTTGAGATCAAGTCATTCTGGCATTTTTCAGCCCTGAAATGTCCTTTGTTTTGTATAAAGGTGGTAAAAAATGGGCAATACACTGGAATTTTTTAAAATTTTTATTAGTTGGAAAATCCAAAAACCTGGGAACCACTGGTCTAAGGTGATCATAGTTTCATAAAAACAAGGGAACATTTTGAAATGAAATCTTAAGTAGAATACAAATATCTAAAACATATACATGGAATTTATTAATATAAATTTATTTTTCCCCAACTTTTTATTTTGCAAAGTTCAAATATGCAGAAAAGTTGAAAGAGTGATACAGTGAATTTCTATGTATCTGTATACCCTTTGACACATTTGCTTTATCTCTGTGTGTTTGCTGAGCTATTTGAAAGTTTCAGATACCGTGATGTTTCACCGATAAATACTTCACGTTATGTTTCTACTAAGAACAAAGACACTCTCCAACATAATTATTATTGTGGTATTCCGAATAATGGCCCCCAAAGTTGTCCATGTGCTCATTCCTAGAACCTGTGAATATATTACCTTACATGGTAAAACGGACTTTGCAATATGATTAAGACACGGATCTCGAGATGGGGAGATTTGCCTGGATTATCTGGGTGGGCCCAGCATAATCACAAGAGTCCTCAAGAGGAGGCAAAAGGATCAGAGATGTGACAATGGAAGCAAGAGGTTAGAGTGATTTGAGAAGAGGCCACAAGCCAAGGAATGTAGGCAGCTTCTAAAAGCTGGAGAAGGCGAGGAAATGGATCCTCCCCTGAAGCCTCTGGAAGGAATGCAGTCCTGCTGACACCCTGATTTTAGACTTCTGACCTCCAGAACTGTAAAAATAAATTGTTTTTAAACCACTAAATTTGTGTAATTTGTTACAGCAGCTACAAGAAAACTAACACATTATTAATTCAATATCATCTAAAATAGAGTACATATTCACATTTCCCTAATCATCCCAAAAATATACTTTCTGATTTTGTTTTTTGTTTTTCTTTCTTCTTGTTTATAAATTTAAAATCCATTTAAAGTTTGTGTATTGCATTTGGTTGTGGTTTAGTAGACGTTTATTTTTAAAGTTCAAATTTATAACAATTACTTGTTGTCTTCATCCACACAAAAATTTGATATCACAGATATACCTGACATTTGCAGTCTTTATATAATCAGCCCTGAATTTACTATTTTAATTTGGTTTAACAGAGAAAATAGGTAAAAACGTGCAGTTTTAACAGCTTGCCTTGCTATCTCAGGATAATCCATCAACCTGATCTAGAGACACAAATGAGGATGAGGAAATAACAATACCAAACAGCTGATACTTAATTGGACAAGTTTTATCTTCATAGAAGATGCAGCCAAATGACAAATACCTATGTCTTTCAGTGACTTTTAACAGGTTCTGGCACTAAGTAGTTCTGTCATATTCTCTTGTAAGGGTAGCTGGCCCTAGCCAATAGATTGGTTAGAGAATTAATTTCATTTTAAGTTTTATCAAACCCATGACTACAAGTATCAAATGTCTTTCTCAAATCTTCTATTTTTAACTAATGATCCACTTCTAGTCTTGCAGCTAAATTACCTTATCAAGAAGAAGTTTGTAAGCATAAATGTCATGCAGAAAACAATTGGCACACGGTAAAGTGGCCAGTGTTGTGGGTAAAGATAACTGAGAAGACAGCTGTGTTGTGGGTGAAAATAACTGAGAAAGCAAAACAGCAGAGTTGAAATTCTCAGGATAAAAATCTCTGGTATGAAGATTAAAATTAGAACATTATATGATATCACAATATTGTACAAGACACTTCTTGCTTTAAAAACCTGCAAATAAAGACAACCACCACAAAAAAAAAAAAGATATGTCTATTTTTTTGATACTTTATAAGCCTTGCAAAAGCAAGGCCTCAAAAAATTAGTTAATGACTCAGAATTGTTCCTCTCCACGGAAATCTTTAGTAAAAGGCGAAAGATTTATGCGATCTGAAGAGAAACCAGAGTATGCTTACTGTTTATGGCACACAGTGGGCAAGTAACTGTAACTCCTAGAACAGCAATGGTAACAATATACCCAAATCAGTTCATGATGTCTGCCTTTATCCCAGACAATTCTGTAAGAGCAGTTTCATTTTGGGTGGAAAAAAGGTCAGAGGAAAAAGGAGACACAAGTAGTTTTAAAGTAGGAAATTGCTCTGTGTGCAATGTATTGTGGGTATGCAAATAAGTCGCTGAGTCACCAACCTGTGGTTTCCGGAAATACTTCAAATAGTT